CACACACACACACACACACACACACACACACACACACACACAGAGTCACGCGCTCAAAAACAAAATTTGTGAGGGCGACGGCCTCCTCTTCTTATCATACCATCGTTCAACTGACCAGGGCCCTGGGAGATTCAGCATTGAATGCCCCCCCCTAGAAAAAACTAAGAAAAGCATGCATTCATGACGTGGCACACAACATTGATTGCTTCCCAAAACAGGAAGGATTAACTGTGGGCAAAAAAAAAAAAAAAAAAAAACAACAACAACAACATGGAATTAACACTTGCCACACAACATTGATTGCTTCCCAAAGCAGAAAGGATTAACTGTGGGGAAAAAAAAAAAAAAAAAAAAAAACACGGAACCATCACTTGCCGCACAACATTGATTGCTTCCCAAAGCGGGAAGGATTAACTGTGTGCACAACGTACAGCCAGCAGATACAAAATATAGAGAGATGGCTGTCGCGGGACGCATTTCTATTGCTACATTAAAAAAAGAAAAAAATGCAAAAGAACCAAGAGGAGAAGAAAAGCGTGACAGTGTGTGCAAAGTGAGGAAGACCAAGTCTATGCAGCCCACGATCTCGCTGCCCTCCTAACCAGCGAGCAAGCAGCCCATCGACCGTGTCCTTCCCACTATAAATATCGCCTTCGGACCTCGGATTGATGACGTCGTTGAGGTGTGTACTTCGGGCGGGAAGGAGGGAGAGAGAGGAGGAGAAGGGAGGGAGAGTAGGCGGGGACGCAGAGTGGCGGGGAAAGGAACGGTAGACGGAGGAGAAGGGATTGAAGACTGGCCGGCGGGGGAAGGCAATGGGAGAGGAGGTAGGCGGGACGCATTTTTATTGCTACATTAAAAAAAGAAAAAACGCAAAAGAAGCAAGAGGAGGCGTTTGCATGGCAGGGCCGATGCTGCAGTCACGTCTGAAGGGGCACTTATCACGGCTTCGATAGAGCTTCCGCGATCTTCATGAGTGCGTCACATAGGAGCTTCTGTCCTACATCCGCCAGTTGCAGTTGCCGCTCATGAATGTCGAGCTCACGTTCCAGCACGGTGCACTGCCTGTCCATGAATTCGCATTGCCGCTTGCTTGCCCGATCCACGGACTCTGCCACAACGGCAGAATGTTCCTTCATCACCTCTCCCACCACCGCAAACGCTTGTTCCCGCGCCGTTTTTTTCTTGCCATGGCGCGACCCCTGTGATGTTGAAGCACAATCTGTGCTCATGTCTTCTCCCTCCTCTCCTTCGCTGTCCGCATTGTCAACAGGTCGTTTGCCAGTGTCAGCGAGGTTGGTGGGGTTGATCGTCTGGTTGCCGTCCTGCCCAGCGTGAATGGCATCCCATAACTCACGATCTAGGAAGAACTTGAAACCCTTCTCTCTCCTCTGCTTAGCTGTCAGCTTCCAGAACGTTGCCATACCCGAAAGATCTTCATGGTTGTCTAAAATATGTTTGTACCACATAAACATATTCTCCCACCGTTTGCGGCATTTTGACGATGTCCGCATCACCCCTTGGGCCTCCATACGCTTCTCAATATCAAGCCACTTCCATTCCTTCGTTTTCATCCTCCCCAAGTTCGATGGGAGACCTGCAAGATACTGCTCCTGATCCCGCTTGCAGTGGATCAGAATGAGAGATTCACGGTTGTCCCATACATCCCGTCCGCCTTCGCAGCGTCTGCACCACCTTTCTCGCTTGCAACCCCCGTGCTCTCCTGCCCAACATCGCCAGGATGCCCAGTGGCGGACTGTGCCAGTGCTGCTGGGCTTGCAGGTGGTTCGCCATCCCCTTCCACATCGTCTGGGACAACACAATCGACCCTTCCCATTGCAGGCCCCTCCGATCCACCGCCAGACTCCATAGGAGTTGTGCTGGGCTGTCGTGGCACATCATTGTTGAACACCGATGCTGACCCGCTCCCAAGAGACCGGAAAGCCGAACTCCCGACACGGATGCGCACCCCTCCTCCATGCAAGCCACCCCCTCCTGCGGTAGACACTGTGGAACGTGCCGGAGTGTTGACGTTCGTACGCGTAGCCCTTGGTGCAGCAATGGATAGGGAGGTGAAGCACTCCGTCGGCTCTGTTGCAGATGCTGAGAGACGGAGGTCGGTGTCCAGCTCCAATTGCGATGAAAACGGCCCGGCCGTGGACAGGTCCACCATGTCGTCATCCGGAAGTGGTTGGAGATAGGATGGGAGATGCGCATATGCAGCCGGGTCCAGTCGCTGCTGGCCCGTTGGCATGTTCCACCCTGCGTTGGCATCTGAACCACACAGGGTCAGCCGCACCATGCTGCCTTTCTTACCCCCGGCCTTCACTGCCTTCCTCTTTGATGCACTCCTTGGAGCTCCTCCCTTCACCCCACGCCTCCGCACGCTGCCCACGAACTGTAAGAAACGGAGCAGAACGATCACCAGCAGCACAAGCGACAAAACTGCAATGAGGACCGCAATACGCACAACACTGGGCATGTGTGCCGTGTACAAGTGTTCCCCCCACTGAACGCACGCGGACTTCTGATGTCGGAGGGAGGACGTGCCTGTTCTGGGGGGCGTGCATGCCGCTAACGACGAGCTGGAGTAGCCTGGGCCACGTGCATGCCGCTATCGAAGAGCTGGAGGACGCGCCTGTGCTGGGGGGCATGGCTGGTGGTCTGCGCGCATGCCTGCACTGGCTGCCTCGTTGGCCGCGCGGCAGCGAACCCAACGGCTACCCTGCAGGCCGCGCGGCACGTGGGGTGGGCCGGGCTGTAGCCAACCCAATGGCTACTTCGTGTGGTTCACCACCCAGGTCCGTCGCTGGACCAGGACAACCACGATTGGCGAAAAAAAAAAAAAAAAAGGGACCGGACGGGGGCACTGAACGGCCTGGCGACGCATATTGCCGCCGTTTCCAAGAAATTTCAAGTCACCTCCGGGAGGTGACTTGAAAATTCGCCGAAGTTGCCTCGGCACCCTACGGCCGCCCTCGAGTTTCAGAGCAGAGTTTTGTTGAGGCGGGAAGCTTAAACCACCAGTACCTGGCCCAACTATCGGACGCGGCGCTTCCCGTATATGCGTCGCGTCGGGAGGGACACCCACCTTGCAACGACCGGTACTGCCCAAAAGTCGGAATCAAAAACAGAAAAAAAAAACAAAACAAAAAACAAAAAAAAACAACCGAAACGAGAACAAACAAAAAAATAAAAAAAACGGGCGAGGCGGGGGGAACGGGGGGACGAAAGAAAAAGAGAGAGAGAGAGAGAGAGAGAGAGAGAGAGAGAGAGAGAGAGAGAGGGCGT